GGGTGGGGGGGCATTTGTAAATAAAATTAAATACTCTGAAACCTAAATAGACCTGTCACAACAACAAAATTTTACTGGATGATAAATTGTCTCAGAAATTATTGCTATAAACGATAATATTGTTTGGAGATCAGTTTAAACTATTATGATATAACATCCCATGCTTACTGAAGTTTACATTAAAATTTGTGTAAAAGAAAAAAAAACATCTGTCTACAATCCCAAGGCCTCACCAGTTGTATGAAGGCATCAGAAAACTGAAGACGCTCCTCTGGCTAAATGCCTGTTCATGGGCTTTCATTCTACAGAGTTTAGGAGACCATACACCTGGAAAATACCTGACACCACTCCTCTCTACGCTAAGAAGTAAAAAAAAAGTGGGAGACATAAAGAAAACATAAAAGCAGGCAATTAAAACTATTGTCTTCATTTTATATCTTCCTCAATTTAATTTATCATTCAGTTAATTGATTTATTGTTAATTGTGACAGGTCTAAGCATAAATGTTACAAAAGTCATAGCACTCGTCTCCTGAATGAGCAAAACATTTTGAGGTGAGAACAACTAAACTAGCACAGAGTAAAAGTGCAAGGGTACCTAAAACACAGGAAAACTATAACGTGAATGCTGACTCAGCATTCACGTCATTATAAAACACATAGTAGTATCTATTAAAAAGCAAGGAAAATGGGTTTATTTATTAAAAGGTATGAAAAAAGGCTGAACTTGAATATTTTAGTTGTCAGTGAAAAGGCTGAACTGACTCACTCTTTGCTGATTTACGAACCCACAAGTCTGAAACATGTCTGCCACTATTTGACGGATGCTCCTTATCTAGCCTGCAGGTGGGATGCAGTTTAAATGTATTCTTAATGTCAACATCAGACAGCAGTCCTTTACTCTGAAGCCTGAAGCTAAGTATACCACTGTAGATCTCCTTACAGTATGCCACCGCCCTCCCTCCATCCAACCCTAAAGGAGGAAAAGAATGAGGCAGTTTGTGTGCAGATGCTTGAATAAACTCGGAAGAGCTGAAGATGCTGCTTTAAATAAACCCTCAGCCCTCTGAGGAGACTGTAGGGTATTACACAAAAAGAAAACATACTGTTCCTGGCTCTATTGTCCTGCACAACTTCTACGGATTAAATAAAGACTTTATTTTCCATCTAAACTGTTCAGGTAGCAGTCAGGCCTTGAACCAAAGTATATTAGAGAGGAAAGTGTGTTCTTTGAGTCACTTCAAAACAGTCGTTTCAAAAGAAGAGGTATTTATGGAGGTCTGAACACCTCCATAAGGAAAAGCAAGTAACTTTTTTTCCCAGCATTTGGGGGCAGGTTTTGTGGCAAGTGCTAAAGACCAGATGGTGTTGTGAGAAGACATTCAGCTGCTGTCGCACTGACTCACACAACCTTGAGCACTTTATTTATTTATTTATTTTTTCTGTCAACATACTTAACTTCCTTATAGCCCCCCCTAAAATGCAAACGACTGAATGCTGCAACGTACTTCACAGGAAGTGAAAAATTTGTTTCCTCTACTGGGGCTGCAATAGGGTTGGGCATTATAGTATCGTGTGCAATTAATCGTCAGAAAAACATTTATTGATTATTTTTTTGGCACTAGGGTTGGGCAATATTGGCAAAAAAATTATCATGATTAATTGTTTTATTTAGCCGATAACGATTCATTTGACGATTAATCCCCTGGAGTCCCTGAACACCCTTATGTCCTAGTCACATGACCAATTTAGTGGAAAAGATTTCCTCTTCATAAAAATCTTTTTTAAATTATGTCAAAATTACAGACTTCAGGCTACACATCAAATTTTTAATTGTGTTGACAGATAAATAAATTATAGAACTTTTTTTTAAATGTTTGTCATATTTGAAGCGAAGAGGAGCACCGAGTGGACTCTGCCTGATGGCATTAATCGTCAAGTGCCAAAAAATAACCGGTTAATGTTTTTCTGACGATTAATTGCACACAATGCGATTATGCCCAACCCTATTTGGCACTTGACAATTAATACGATTAATGCCATCAGTCAGTCCGCTCGGTGCTCCTCTCCGTTTCAAATATGACAAACATTAAAATAAGTTCTGTAATTTATTTATCTATCAACATAAATAAAAATTTGATGTTTAGCCTGAAGTCTGTAATTTTGACATAATTTGGAACAGATTTTTACAAAGAGCAAATCTTTCCCACTAAATTGGTCATGTGACTAGGACATAAGAGTGTCCAGGGACTCCAGGGGATTAATCGTCAAATTAATCGTTATCGGCTAAATACCACAATTAATCGTGATATTTTTTTCCCATATTGCCCAACACTTGGCTGCAAGAAATAAAATGGACATCACTTTGTTCTGGGATGTCCCGGTGTTCTTTGGAAGCCTGTCCTCGACACAACATCTGTGCAGAACTGTTCTCTCTGTGTGTCGTTAGTCACAAATCTGAAGTAGGAAAAGTAGGAATTTGAATATATCTGCTGGTGCGCAAGTTGGTACATTGGATAGTTTTGAGGAGCAGCTGGCTGAGGCAGTGAGGAAGTATGAAAATCTCAATCACTGGTGGGGGACAATCAGTCCTGCACCGGGAGCGCACTGTGACGACACGACGAGTGAAGTATGAAATATCCTGGCCAAAAACAAACTTTGTTCTTGACAACTCGAGAAAACAAGTATGTCTTGGTTCTTGCAGAGTTTTCTGACAAGCTTTAATTTATGTAGTGCGCTTTTTTTGTTAAACTGCTTTTATTTGTGTCACAACATCCTTTGAAGAACTGGGGGAGACTGGCAAAGCAAGTCAATAGTTATTTAAAATTTTCATTTTCAAAGTGAGGCAGTTGGTTTCCATTTGAAAATGATTTTAGTTATTCAACAAAAAGCAGAACAGAATGAGGGCAGGATGCAGTCAGACACATAAACTGTTACAATAAACAAATACAACTGTCATCCAGTTGCTTAAGAAGTGAAATACAGATTTTTTTTAATACTAAAATATTATTATTTTGATATAAAAAATTAGGTTGTGTGAACTGAAGAATTTGCAGATTATGGACTTCTTGTCCTCCCACAAACTAGGTTTTGATCAGAAAAAAACTTTAGTCCAAACTTCCCATCAAGTGCACGGCCTCGTTTTAAAACCCCAGTGTCTGAAAAGCTTATTGCAAAAAAGAGAATTAACTGTCCTGACTCAGAAGCTAGAAGATGACTTGGTCACTCGAGAGGATGAGGAGTCAGACAGCGAGAACTTAAAGCCATGACCCAGCAAACACACTGATTATTAAGCCAATTAGAGTGTATGGCCTTCAAGTGGTTAACAGTTTAATTAGTGCTGTTAGAGCAGAGAAGAGGGACGCAAACAAGTAATGAAGAAGTGAGCTAAACCCCAGACTGGACAGAAGAGACGGAAAACTCCTGAAGCCACGATGGAATCCCATAAACTCCTACTCAATTACTTTTTCTGGCTTAAAAGCAAATGCATTTTTCAGCTTCAGCGAGATGTATCTCTACAAACACAGAAACCAGTCATAATCCAGCAGTCATTTGGAACATCATTTACAAGCCACTTACTGTGTGCTCAAAGGAGCACAACCAAGACTGTTGAAGTAACAGTCTGAGATTACCTCATTAATCTTAAATTTACTTAAAAGTGCTAATTGGATTTATTTGACCGTTACATCGATGTTTGGATGAGTGGGTAATAAAAGAAATGGAGAATGGAAGAAAATAAAAGACAAACCAGGTGAAAACACAGAAAGGAGCAGAAGCTGGATGTAAAGCTTAAACACACAAGGGAAGGGCCCGGGCGAATTAACTTTCAGGACACTGTTGACACCCAGAAGCCAATCAGATTTTCATTAACTGGCAGAGGGACAGGCAAAGCTGGCACAAGCCAATTAACCTCTGGATCTCTCACTGTCGAAGAAACACGATGGGAAGAAGTTCTAGGGATGCCAGGGATGAGTGAGAGGGGGAGGAGGGGTGGGACGCCCTGGGCAGAGACTTCAGGTGGGAGAAATGCAGGAGTGTTAGGGAAAGGCCAGCTCAAGCACTGAACATGAAACAGGTAGAGCGGGCTTTACTACAGTATGTCTACATTAGTGTGGTGTGTTCGGGACAGGTTTGTTAATGCATGCACACATATGGTACATGTACGAATACTTAAAAATCGTTGCATTATCCATGGATTTTCAGAGTTTATTTATTTATTTATTTTTTTGGTGGGGGGATCCCATTGGGATACTGAGACAAGTTCAACATTGTGTGTTTTTGCAATAGAACACCTGATTCTGAGGAGAACCCTCAGATCTAAACTCATAAAGATAGTGTCATTAAATAAAATGTCCTGGCATAAAATCTTATTTACATTTTTAAAGCAAAAATGATGTGCTTCACTGTATTTACATGGAGTATGTAACGTATCTCATTGTACGCATGACTCTGTGTGTTCTTCACTGTAAGTTTGTGAGCATCATATGTCTCAGCAAGTATGACTGTGTGTGCGTGAATGTGTGTACATGTCTTTGTATTAATGCGTGGACACACAGTATTTAGACATACAGTACTATGCTTAGGAAGTATTGGTGTTGTGTGGACATTTGCCTGGCCCACAAAAAAAAAAACAAAAAACATTTGTGGTTAGGGGTGTCCCGATCCAATACTGATATCGGTCCGATATCAGCCAAAAAACGAGCATCGGATTTTATCGGCCTGCATAAAATTTCTCCGATAAAAGCACACCGATATAAGCAGTCCAATCCAGCAGTCCACTGACTCCGCTCCAGCTTCTGTATCCAGCAGCGCTTGGATCCAGCATGCAGATGTGACGTCCACATGATCACAACAACATGCTGCGCTAACAAGGTAGCAAGAAGTAGGAGCGATGTCGGCAGTACTTTCGATTTTCATCAAAAACACAGTTGAAGCTAAGTGCAAAGTTGTCATGCACAAGTTTTCTTTAGGTTAACAGAACCGTGTATGTTTTAAACCAGAGAGACAACCAGGCTCTACTCTCCACCCTGGCAGCAGCTATGTGATTCGGCTCGGTTCGGCTTTGGTCCAGTGTGTCTCTATTTCCAACCGCACACAGCTGTGCTGTTTCAGAACCTCCTCTCCGGTCCGGTCAGTTGTTCTTTAAGCGAGGATAGCACGCTTAAGGTTTTGACATCAGCAGAATGCTGCCCGTGGATTAGCTCTGGGATTGACGGACAGAAGAAAGGAGAGTGCAGCTTTCATTTTGGAATATGAGTGCAGAGCTAAAACTGTGCTCCCTGCAGGTGCAAGAGGCTAATCTCCACATGATGCTCGGACTGTAGAAAGTGAAAATGCAGCAGTAAGAAAGGTAGCTATCAATTTAATTAACGGACTAATTATTACTATTTATTTTTGCTCGTTATTAGAGTGATGTTTAATCTATTTACACACTTGTTTTAGTGAAGATTAAGTGCAATGATCACCTTGTTTTGGGCACAGCCAGTAAAATTGGAGCTGTGGACTCTTAACTTTGAACAGTTGGACAATAATGTGCAGTTTTGTTTTGTCCCACCGTAAAGCAGCACCAGGCTGATAGATAGTAAAAACAATAACTGGAGTGATTTTGAATTGTTATTTTACACTTTAAAAGTATATTTTGTTTTTATTAGGTTTTATTTTTCAGGGTCTTCTAATTTATTTTATTAAATTCAACAATGTTCTTCAGTTTAAAATGTATGTGAGCCATTGGTTAAAAATAAATGGGTCAGTTTTTCTCATACCTACACTTTTTCACTGTTTGACTTGATCAAGACTTTAAGATTTCACTCTACAAAACAGGTAGTGAAAAAGTTGTATTGGGACACCCCTACTTGTGGGTCAGGGGTTAGGTTTAGGACTAAGGTATGAATTGAATTTAGGTTAGGTTTAGGGTAGGCCTGTCGCGATAGACAATAAATCAATTAATTGCACGATAACTTTTTTTGAGGTCGGTAAAAAAAAGACGGCGATAAGTTTCATTTTCCTGCTTGTTTTTTTACTTCGTCTCTCTCCCTCTCTGTGCTCCGCTGCACAGGAGCTCAGCTGACTCCTCCCCTCCTGTTTTCTTAGTGTGGGAGGAGTCAACTCTCGCTTTAGCGTGATAGCTCGTTCCTAAAGAAACGCTTCAAAGCAGAACGCGGCTGCTGAAGTGTTGGGAGCACTAGAGCCTGGATTTCACTGCGGAGGGAGGGAGGGAGAGAGAGACGGAGTGAGACAGAGAGAGAGAGAGAGAGAAAGAGAGAAAGAGAGAGAGAGAAGGAGGAGAAGGGGTGGGGGCTGAAACTCCCCCAGACCCGCGACAAACTCGTCAAGACTTTACCTGTAGCTCCCAAAAATAACAGGAAACTTAAACGCACCATCTTTGTTTTAACCCTGTAGCTGTCCCAACAACTCATGAGGAAAACCCTGAACTGTCTGATTTCCTCCCCGCAGCGCTCTGCTTGTTTCCTCTGACTGTCCCCTCCTCACACACACACACATAGACATGTTTGTTCTTCTATCCTCATGGGGACTTTGCATTGACTTTCATTCATTTACCAGTATTTCCTATTACCATTTGACCCTAAACCTAGCCTAAACTTTACATGGGATGTGAACTGGGCTTATGTCCCCATAAGAAACAGTGGGTCCTCACCAGGCTGTGTAGTTTGCTTTATCTCTAAAGACACGCTGCTCTTTAATATTGTTTATTTACTGTCTTAGTTGTGTGTGTTGTTTAATTTATATTTTGTTATTCTTTGTTTTTTTTTATTCAAGTGCATTTTTTGTTAGAGACTGAGAGTCCACTTTGTTAAACATTCTTTTAAAATTAAAGTTTATTGATTTATTACACTTACATATTACGCTTTTATAATTATTAGTTGTAAAATGGTCACCAGGCAATATTATCGCTTATCGCAATAAATTTTGAGACAATTAATCGCCCAGCAAAATTTGTTATCGTGACAGGCCTAGTTTAGGGTCAGGGTTAGGCTGTAGAAATGAATGGAAATCAATGCAAAATCAACAGAAATATTAAGAGTCGTGTGTGTGATGCGTGTCTCACTGCATGTATGTGTCTAACAAGTGTCTCGCTACGCAGGAGTGTTTGTGTACTTCACTGTGTGTGTGCAACATTTGTCCCAACAGCTATATGTGTGTATGTGAGGCGTGTGTCTCACTGTATGTAAATGTATAATGTTTGTCTGTGTTTTCAATTAAGTTTTTATTAGCTTACTTGGCACAGGACATCATTACATCTTACAGTAACAGGAGAAAAGTAAAGTGGGGGATACAGGCTATGAAAATAATCACATCACAACACAAAACGGTGATACAAATATAGCAGCATCTGTTTGAAGGAGGAATTCTGATTCCTGAAGTATTCATTTACATCAAAATCAGGTGTGAAAGACCATAAGCAGAAAAAGTGATAATAATATGAATAAATATCAACTGTCAGCTTGCTGGTTGCCAGTCAGTGTAATATATGACCAAAAAGGTTTCCAGTTTGGCCAATTTGGTGCATTAGTACTGTCCTTGTTGTTTAATTTGTACAGCATACATTCATAAGAGGATATTTTAATCATTATGTTGACCCCTTATTTTACCTGTGGACTCTTTCCAGTTTTCCGGTGCCTAAGGATAACCCTAGCTGCTACTGATATTCCCATCATTACAACTGAAAACTTCTCTATTGATATATATATTAGATATTTGTGCTTTATCACCAAGTAAACATAGTTTTGGACAAAGTGGTACAGTTCTTCCCAGCCAATTACTCAGTATATGTACAATAAGTAACAGAAGGGTCTAATAACTGGACATTCCCAGAGACAATGTATCAAGTTACCTGCATCTCTTTTACACTTCCAGCATAGTGGGTCATCTTTAAGACCAACTCTATTCAATCTAATAAGTGTCCAGTAATATCTTTGCATAATCTTATATTGTGTGAGTTTAATGTTTGTCTGTAATATTAGTCTCACCGTGAAAAGCTGCCCTTGTAGAAGAACTGGCCTCTGCAGGGGAAGAGCTCTTGGAGCGTGAGTTAAAGGGTGATTGTCTGAAGCATTCGTCCAGGAACGAACTGAAACAGAGAGACGTGGTGATGTTACCAACACTCAAATACACACATATTTTGGTATTTTGTCTAAGAACCACATAGACTTTAACAAACTATGAAACAACTGAAAAACTGTCCTTTTTATACACATTTTTAAACACAAGAAGAATCCCTAACTTACCTATTTATTCCCACCATGTTACTGTCTTTGTGGTTGTTGGCTTTGCTTACTTTTTCTAGAAAATAACAGAAACAAACAGAGTAGCAGGATTAATACATGTTTAAAAGCAACAATTTTTGTTTCAATCTCTCTGTAAACATTTGACGACATTTCAAACGGCCCGATGGAGAGGAAGCAGGTTGCGGCTGTTCGAGGCTGCTGGGGGGTGGCTAAGGTTTAGTGAGAGGGCCTTCAGATTCAGCTCAGACTTCTACAGTCAGACTACTTTTTTTTCTGCTGAGGTCTGCTGTTGTCAACAAATATTCAGTCCAGCTGACAGTTTCAGTTCACTGTCGGCTGGTAAGTTTTCTCAAACTTCCTATGGTCATAGTTCACTGTCTGACACAAACAGTCACAGTGTATTTTTCTCAGTGCTGCAGTCATTTAAGCTGGGCTCAGCTAGGAAAGCCAAAAAAAAATAGATTTTTTTAGAGAAAAAAGTTGCACCAGCTAAATCTCCAGTGTCTTAGCGAGGTTGCAAAAGCGTGATGTTTCTGTTATTCTATGTTAAAAGGATGACAAAAGAATATGTAAAAGCATCATTTTAAAGGTCCAGCATTTCATGAAACAATGCATATTTCCCGCCACCTTTCATTCCAGAGATTTAGACTAAGATCATCTTAAGTTAAGAAATGACAGTTGTAGTAGATTTATTAAAACATTGAAAATAAGATTATATTCAAGCTCACAATATCGTGAGATGTCACTCTCAAAGTGTGTGTTGGGAAAGACACTCAGCAACTACCACATTATGTTTTAACTCAAAATCTGATGAACTAACTGAGTCATGGCCCTATTTGTGTTAACTAATATTGATTAACTGTGGCCTCCACTTTGAATTGGGTTGACTCCATAAGTTAAAATCAGTTGTAGATGTTTTAAATTAATATTTACTGAAATTTTTAGCAGAGGGAGGTTTATTGTCGATGTGTTGTCTTTAAGTCATTAGATCAGCTTTTAATCTTTAGGTAAACCACTGACTGGCTCAGTGTTAGCTACATTATGGTTTAGTATATGAAAAACTGCTTTATGGAGTCAAGCAGAGGTAAAACAATGCAGTATAAACTTAATTTACACTCTCACCTGAGAGAAAGTGACTTACCAAACTGGTAAAAAAAAATCATAAAGATTTCTTTTTGCTGACACTGCTAAGTGCTGTTAAGATTAATGGCGGTGAAGTGACGGCACAATGTGATTGATTAATCCATCAACTGCTGAGATGAATCAAGACATTTAATGTAACACGCTTATTATTAATTTTCACAAAAAGTGATTTCTCCCAATATCAGTGAGTGTGCTTCAGCTACACAATGCCACGAAAAAAATCTCACAAAAGGAGCATTACATAAAGTCATTAATGCGAAGTTAAAAAGTGTGAAACGTTAGTTGCGTTTTGTTTTGTTTTTTCATGTACTGATGCTTTCGAGTCTGTCGTAACTCTAGAATTTTAGCTAATAATTAAAAGAGATGTTGGAGTGTTAAGTGGAGCAGGAATGGTAAAAACCAGTCAGTATCTGACTCCTTGGTGTTCAGTAATAAAGGGCTCTACACAAAATGACTGAGAACGGAGCCATATGTGCAGGTTCCAAGGCGACGTACTGAAGTGAATCTCAAAGCTGCAATCATCTCAGTGTTCAGAGCGACCTTGCTGCTGATGTGTCTCTGAGGTCCTACTGCTCTGGGTAATTCATATTGATTGCTCATTGTGTGACAGCAGCCCACTCTGTTCCAGCCCCCCCAACCCCCACACACATTCAAACCAAGTTCTGAGGGGGCGGCCGTCGCTGCTGCCAGGCCAGCGGAGTCTTGGCCTCCCCTGGGTGGGCACGCTGCGCGCCTCCCCGCTGCCCTCGCCACCCGCCCCTATTCTCTGCTCCTCCCGCACCAAAAAGCCACTGCCACCCCCGTACCCTGAGCGCCCCACTCCGTCACACTGTTCGCCAAGGACAGAGGTCTCTCTCCGCGTTGCTATGGTGATGCCGCACAGGAGAAATGTAAAGGGAAGGAGAGGGAGGGGACAGAGAGTGTGGTAGTGGGGGGGAGCATGTGCAGCCAAGTGTGCTTGAGCTGGCATGTCTGAAAACAAGTCAAGGGAGAGAAGAGAGAATGAGAGAAAGGAGGAGGGGGGGGGGCATTTGAGCAGACACCACTCCCCATGGGGCCTTGTGCGAGTGTGTAAAGGTGTGCGTGAAAGACGGTGTGGGAAAGGAAAATTGTCAATGTGTGAATTTGTGACTATGTGTGAGAGCAGGAAGAAAGGAGGGAAAAAAGATTTGACACAAGCTTGTTCATCTGTATGGCATTTAAGTGAAGCAAATCAGATGGACATGAATAATGTTTGACCACACACACACACACACACACACACACACACACACACACACACACACAC